AATTAATAAAAATGTCTTTTTGTTGCACACTGCTTAACCTGTTTCCTAAAATAGACTTGTGTTCTACTATCTTTGTGTGCCTACCATGTAACCCCGAAAAGAAGCCGAATGGCAAAGGAGTGTTTCCCTACGGATGCCTCAGAAAAGAAGGCCACTTGCTTAAAGGTTATTTTGCATTTCAGTATGATTTACCATCTATGTAATCTTTGGAAATATCATTTTATCTTGGCTCATGTGGAAAAATAACTAGTATGATGTTATTCACCTCACATCCTTGTTGTAAGAGTGGAAAGATAGAAAATATACTAAGTAAGTACCCTTGAAAAGAAGACGCTCTTCTTTCCTTTCATTTCTTCTTTCATCAACTAGAACATGATAAGTGAGTGACTCCCACTGAGGCCAAACTGCAGTCTAGGGATCAGTGCAATGAAATCTAGGAAAGTCAAGTTGAAGGAATATGAGGTTGTAGACCAGTCAATGTCAGGACACAGACTAATCCACAAACACGGGATGGGTTGGGGGTTTGGGGGGGGTTCTAGATTGAAAGCAGCCAAGTCATGTTTCCAGAAGGTAAAAGGGGTGAGCACGAGATCACACAGCTGCTCTGCTCATCCAAAGCCCTGCTGTCTGATGGCTAGACTACACCACCACCTTCCCACCAACTAGTTTATCTATGTGCTAAATCCATTCTTTATACAACATCCTCTACATTTAAAATATACAAATCTAAAATTTATATTCTCCCTGTGTATGCAACTCCTTAGTGTCTCCTTCTTGTTCTTAAGGTACAGACCAAAACGCAACAGTAGAAGTTCCTACCAGGCCTGTTTCTATAGCTTTGTCTCACATCATGCTCCAAATCTCTCACTCTGATCATACCAGACTTCTTTATGTCTTCAAGGAACCATACATTTTTCCCACTTCCAGGCCTTTTAATATCTGCCTCTGAATCTAAGACAACATTCCTTGACACTTCACATCTCTAACTCCTACTTCTCTTCCAGGTGTCAAGTAAGATGGTCATGACATTAGACCAGCTCCTGCACATGATATTCTTTACAAATGCACTGCATTTAGCATTTCTTCCTAGAGTTTACTGCAACTTGTAATTAAATATTTACTTGTGAGAATAGTCATCCAATGTTTGTCTCCTTCTCAGGGTTGTATAATCTAGAAGGAAAGAGAACATTCTTGTACTGCTCACCCTTGTAGTACAGGAGCTTGATTAGTTCAATACACAATGATCATTCAATAAATATCTTTTGATTGGCTGACATAAAATAATGCACAAAGGATTAGGTAGGCTATAGAGGTTACCCACTCAGTTAAGATGTCAGAAAAGACCCCAGGGTGAGTGCTAAGTTTCATCATAGGAAGTAAAGAAATTGAGTCATAGGAAAGACATGGACATGAATTAAGGTAACACAGAAAATGATTTTAAAACTGTGGGGTTAGAGGTAAATCTTCATCCAATAAGTCAGGAATCAAATGGAATCATAGAATAAGAATCCTATGTTTTCCAGGTACCTGTGACCTCTTGATCAGGTTAGTAAAATGCAGCTTAGACCTATAGTGATCCTCCTGTCTCGGTCTCCCCAGTGCTGTGATTACAGGAATGTGTCCCCCATTGCTGGCACAACATGTGGTACCAGTGATCAAACCTGGGTCCTTCAGCTTGCCAGGCAAGCACTTAGACCACCGAGCTAACTCCCCAGCCCCAGAGAATAGATTCCTAGTCGTAGAAGGATTCAATTGAATCCCTTTCAGCTTATCTTACATACAGTCCACTCAGTATTGGCAGTGGCAGAATATGTGGATACGGAGGGCTGACTTAAGGGCCTTAAGCAGCCACAGGCTTTGATATTCATGAGAGTTCTGAAACTCTTTTGCCCTTGGATATTAAAAAGATCATTATATTTACAAATTATTCCCTACAGTCTTAACCACATCAAACCTGTGACCAGCACTGTATTCAACAATCATGTACAAAACTGGCAAGTTTTCTAATATATCATTTGCAAAATGTTATTTCTTTACACCAACATGAAGTTGGAGAGCCATGAGACTACATCTGGTCTCTCTTCACCTTGACTGTTCTACACAGCTTCTCAGAGATAGTCACTGAGATGCTGAACCACTATTTCTAGATTGTTTTCAATTCTTCAGGGTTCACAGTTTCTTTAACTGTCTCAGGCTCTTTCAACCAAAGCACAAAAATGAAGGTCAACAAAAAAAATTGAAAAACTTGTTCTCTCTCCAAAAACGATAAACCTAAAAGCAGTTTGCCCACTTTTGTCATTGTTGAAAATTTTTAACTTATTTCCAGCTCAGGCTTTTTGGATATTCAGTAAGTTCCCTTTTATTTTTATATTCGTATTAAATCAGTTCTTTCTTTGTATCTCCCAGGGATGTTCTTTTATACAAATCTTTTTATTAACAAATTGCATTGTTCAAATTTCACATGAACTATGAACTATTTGTATACTTGAACCATTACTTGGCATACTTTTTAAACATTTCTGAACTTTCTATTTTATAAAACGAAACAATTATCTGTTTTACAAGGAACATTTTCATTATTAAAAAAAAAAAAGAAGATAAGAAAACACTTGTTCCAAAGAACAAGTCATGCCAACCCAACCTTCTTTCTTTAAGAGAGTTCTTAGGTTGAGATTAGAGAGATGCAGTTGACAGAGGATCAGTATCTAATGAATTTGACCTTATTCTCAAGCTATTATTATGGAAAACTACAAGGCATCAGTAGTTGAGCAATCAAGGAGATCTGAATACCAGAGCGAAGGAGAGAGTGGTGGAGTAGTTAGTTCAAAGATTCTGATGTTCAAATAAATGTAAAGTGAATGAAGGAGTCTACTATATGCCACAGTGCCCTGATATGGGCATTTTCCAGGTTTCTACTTATATGGAGAAAATTAGAAGAAAATGTATTTCTTAAAGGTTGCATCTGATGGAGAATGGGATAATAATCTGTTAGAATGAGGCCAAATGTGAGTCTGCACTTGGACTAGGACACTGGCTATGTTACTAGAAACCCTGCACAAATACAGAAAATAATGAGAATCTAGGCAGTCGTTGTAGACAAGACCACAGAAAGATTGCTGCTTCCTGTTCTAGCCACCACTGAGAGGGATAAAGTAGTACAGGGTATCTCAGGATGAGTAAATAGGATACCTCAAAAGACTTAAACTCTTGGTCTGGGGAGATAGCTCAGTGGTCTGAGCACCTGCCTGGAAAGCTCAAGGACCCTGGTTTGATCCCCAGTACTGCATGTTGTACCAGCCCCAAAACCCCAGGTGTGCTATGCCAGTCACCGAAACCAAGCGTGGTGGCACATGCCTGTAATCCCAGCACTGGAGAAGCTGAGACAAGAGGATCACTATGAGTCTGAGCCGCCTAGCAAGACCCTGTACCAAGGAAATAAATCAATAAAAGATTTCTAAAAAATTTAATTCTCGGGGCTGAGGAGATGGCTCAGTGGAATAAGTGCTTCCCTGGCAAGTGCAAGGTTCTGAGTTCAATCCCCAGTTCCACCAAAAAAAAAAAATTTAATTCTTTACTCTTGAAGATTTGCTAAAGAATATTAGTGAAAATGAAAACTATCTGTCAATATCCAGACATCTTTCTGCACAAGCAAGGGCAGACTTCTTATAAAATTTGAGGTCTGGAATCAAGACCATGGAGGATAATTATGAGAGGTCATCATAGGTTTACTACAAGGGGTGCTTTCTAGCATTCAGACATGTGAAGAGCTTAAATAAATTGCAATGTAAACACCGCTATTTTTCTCTATTTCTGAGTGCCTGTGGAGATCTCTCTCCCCAACTAAATGAAATTCAGCATGGACATGTGACGTGCTCTAGCCAATGAAACTTGAGTAGAAGTGAAAGTGTTGCTTTAAGAGTCAAAGAATTTGGTTTTCAGAGATTGACTCTTCCACTTTCTTTCCCCTTGGTTAAAATGGAAATACCAGCCTTGGTCACATTAACCCACTAATGCTGACCCCAATCTTCACAACCAACCTTTGGATGTGTAGTTTTATTAGAAAATACAGTTTTGGTGGCTCCTTGGGTCTTGTTACTGCAGCATACCCTCTTCTATCTGATTAACCCAACTGCTTTCAAGACGCAGTGGTTCCTGTGAATGATAAGCACTGCATTCATGAGAGAGTCTTGGTTTGATGCCACCATGCATTACATTCTTTGTCCTTACTTTCATTGCTGTGTCACATGCAGACTACTGCTGGGGGGCATAACTTAGTCCACTATAGTTTTCAACTTGTCCATAGTCTCTAGGAAATAAATCCCAGTGAAGAAGGCTAAAATAATTTCCTTCCTAGGCACACATTTCTGTAACTCTACTGAATGCCCAACAACAGCACAGATTTGTGGCTCCTGTTCACATGGGCAACAGCCAACAGTAACTAGGTAGCTTACCCAACAAATATTCAATGACCACACACATAGTGTTATTCATGAGGACTTGGAGTCAGGGCCTTAGTGGCTTTTTGAGCACAAGCTTTGCAGATTAATTCTTCCTTTTCATCTAGACTGGGCTCTTGCCAAGTGTCCCTTCAGTCTGCATTCAGAGGACTCATTGCTTCTGCCAGTTCCCCAAGGAAGCCTTTGTGCCATCTACACCTTGAAAAATTCACCCTGCATGCTACAACATACATACAAGGTGTTGCTGTTGAACTTTCTGGGTACTTGGAACTATCTGATATGTTCAGAAGGTGGTTCTATTTGGGAAACAGATTTATGAACTGGTAGGTGACAAGTGAACAGAATGACATATACTCCAAGCCTGACAAGGAAAGAGATGCACTTAAAAGATGATCCCAGTGGAGAAAATTGAAAAAGACAAAATTTAAATTATAATAAAGATACATATGTATACATATGAAGCTATACAAATGTATACATTTTATATAACAATCTTATGTAACTAAAATTGATTAATTGGTGCCTCCTTTTTGTTGTCCACAGGAGACCAAAATCAACTGTATTCGTCTGGCTACAAAAGGTAAGTTGGCATGACCTGTCTGTCTTCGGTTGTTCTTCTTTTACCTTTATGAATATTTTTTCCTCTGGCCACACAGTAAATGTTTAAGAAACAAAGGGTAAAGCCAAGGCTAAGGAATTATTACTTTCATTGGGTCACTTGTATCTAGAGCATATACCCTGAATGTATAGCACTAGCACTATGCTTAAGGTGTAAAAGTTCAAGCCATATTTATCAGATGGCTAGATAGATGGATGAATAGATGGGTGCAGGGATGGAGGATGCCTAGGTAGACAGGTGGATCAACCAGTGCAGTGAAGAACATAATTCATTCAAATATTATTGTAGTGTAAATTTTCACTGCATGGGGATCTCCATTATGTGGGTGTTTTTCTTTAAGCATGTCTATTAGAGCCATCATGTGGGTTTTGTGCTTTAGTCAATTGGTACATAGCCTTCAAATATGAGGTGATTAGTGTTGGTGCCTTTAATAATGAGAGAACAAACACTGCCTTGTTATGTAGCTGGCATTTTCAATACTTATCTCCAAAAAACGAACGCAGCATTGTTCAGGCTCATCGCTTTTGTTTTCCTAATTATAATTGAATTGCCTGACTCTTTCAATTGGTACATGTTTCTGTTTATTACTCTTTTTAAAAACCAAAATCAATGAATGCTTTGTTATCACTTAACCTATTACAAGGTTGAATGGTTAGAAATCAGGTTTATCTTTTTGTTATAGTATTGATATTTTTAACAGCAACTGCCCCTTTACATACACATACTGAAATTGCGTTCTGTTCCCTACATTTATTCATAGCATATATAGTTTCATTACAAAGATATAAAATTTATAAATATAAATGGCCTTATAATCACAGATAAAATGTAGACAAAGCAATGACTGAAGTATGTATGCATATATAGCTATACATATATTCACATGCATATACATATATATATATATACATATATACATATGTGCATACGGATACAGAGGAAAACACACACACAGATCAGTGGAGCAAGAGATATAGAAAAGGAGAGAGACAGAGACAAAGAGAGTAATCTATAGTTATTTAACAAAACATACACCAAGTCTTGTAACACATGACTTTAAAGAGCCTCAATGAAATGTATAGGTACCAAAGGGAAGATGCAAGAGGAAGAGGACAGAAGCACTAGGATTCACTATAATAAAATGTCACCCTGAATTCACATATGTCATAGAGGTCAGCATGTCCCTAACTTATTCCCTCCTAGGAACTCAGGCTATTGGATGGACCAAGATAAAATATTCTTCCACAGACCAGGAGAATTGATGGCCTGCAGGCAAAAGTGACACAAATCACAGACCTTGGCAGACTTTTCCAAGGAAGAAAATAGACAATGTAGAAGGAAGAACACCATCAATTGAGTAGCACTAGGGCTCTAGACAGCAATCAGGGGAGCTGGTGTCTGCAGCATCCCACTTTAATAGGCAGCTGGAGAGGGAGGTAAACACAAAAACTCTTTAACCAAGATGCTGCTTCATCGCTTCCTCATAGTTTCTGACCTTTAGAAAAGGAAGGGGCCCGTGCAGTTGCTCTGCTTGCCACCAGGTATGTGGGACACTATCTTCACCCTCCAGGATGTTGACTCTTGTAAAGGATGATTTGTCGGGTTCGGTTTTCTGACCTAAGAACTTCAACATGTGACCTTATATACAGCAAGTACACATTGGAACAAAGGGAGAACATCTAAAATTATATTTCCCTGCCAACTTGAAGACCACTGTCCTCAGAGGAACACAGGCCCACCATGTTGGCTTCTCCAGAGTTGCTCTGCTGATTTGCTGGAGAAAGACACTGGCATGTAGAAAATGGCAGCAGAAAAGCTCCCAGCCTCTCCTTGACATAAGAGTTTCTCCTCTTGATGGATCATTAGGTTCTAGTTTTCCTTTTTCCCGCCTTTTTTGGATGCTGGGTGTTACTATGCAATTCAGGCTAGCCTTGAGCTCACTATGGAGTTCAGCCTGCCTTAAACTCACAGAAATCCTTCTGCCTCAGCCTCCTGGGTGCTGGGATTATAGGTATGCACTAGCATGGCCAGCTCCAATCTACGTTTAAAAAAAAATTATGTATTTTGTACAGGTTCTCACTACACAGGTTGGACTTGTAGCAATCCTCCTATTTCAGCCTTCCCAGTGCTGGGATTACAAAGGCGCACCACCATACCCAGTTTTGGTGGTCGGCTCGGTGCCAGGCCAACATGGCATGTAATGCTGGAGATTGAACCTGGGTCACTACATGTGCCAGGCAGGCACTTTAGGCCACTGAGCTATTTACCCAGCCCCAATCTTCCTTTAAGAAAGTGTGTGTACAGGCAAAGTGTGGATGCATGAAAGGACAAGAATGAATGAATGGCTGTGAATGCCCAGCTAGTCAAGCCCAGGCAGGGCTCTGTCAGGTCATCTCTGGTGCATAGCCCTGGGGATTCCAAGAATCTACACCCTGGTTATCCACAATTCAGGACATAGAGTTAGCTAATACAGAATGCCAACCTACTGTCATTCAGGAAATCACCTTCCGTGGACCTCATATAAGATAATCATGCCTGAGGAATGGAGAGGTATGACCAAGAGTATCTGCTCCATGCCAGTCCTTATACTCGGATTACCCAGGGTAAATTAAAGGCAAATGGAATCTAGGTCCATGTGTTGCCCATGAGGAGTATGAATGAAGGATCTAAAGGTTACTAGTGAACCCATCTCATGCCTTTCTGACACCTCAATCAAATCTCTTCAAGGTGGACTTGCTGAAAATAGCATCTCTCTTAACAGAAGAAAATTTGAAACTGAGTCTTACAGGCTGAGGGGTTACAAGAAGTCCTAGAGATTGGCCTTCATGCTCTTCCATGTCTCTGTCATTGTAGAATCGTCCTTGTTATCCAGCTCCAGAGAGTGAGCACATATCAGGCTCAAGACCAGTTCTCTGGTGATGATGCAACTCACTGTTGCAGGAGTCCTTCCAGCATCTGCATTTGCTGTGTGGGTCCCATAGAACCAAAGCTGCCACCTGGAACAGACCCAAGTACTCATTCAGGGTCATTCTCTCTTTTTATAAAATGTATTTAGTAGAGTCTATAGCGCCTCACTACACAGATCGGACTCATAATGATCCTCCTGTTTTTTCAGCCTCCCAAGCACTGGAATTATAGGCATGGGCCACCAGGCCCAGTCTCATTTGCTGTCTCAGTGTGCCCCAGGGACAGTGCCAACATGGCACACCAGGGATCAAACTCAGGTCGCTGTGTCTGCCTAAGCAGACAGTTCAACCCATTGAGCTACCTGGCCAGCCCTCATTCAGGGTCATTCTAATTTGACCCCAAACCCAGAGCCTCTTATTTGAGATATATACCTGGACATCACCCACGTTCTAAGTCAGTGCTGCCCATTTTGGAGGCAAAGCAAGGGACCTGTCTCCCCTCCCTGCGAATGTTCTAGCAAAGTCCTCCAAACTCAGAGACTTAACAAAAATGCATTGTTTCACTGTTCTGGAGGTCAGTGGTCTGAAGTCAGGGTTCTACTGATTGGCTCTTTCTGAGGACTCTGAAGAAGACTATTCCATGTGTTTGACATCATTGCTAGTGTTTTGCCAGTGACCTTTGGTGTTCCTTGGTTTCTATAAGGATCACCCAGTTCTCTGCATTATTTTCACTTGGCATTCTCCCTGTATGTGTATCCATGTCAAAATTTCCCCTTTTCATAAGGGTGATTATCATCTTGGAGTTGAGGTCCACACTACTCCAATAGGATTTCACCCTTACTTAACGAATGCCATCTCTAAGACCTTGTTATGGTTTGTGTCTAGGTGTCCCCCCAAAGCCTCATGCAGTCTTGGGGTGGCTTCTGGAGTTTGAGATTGATTTTTATGGGTGTGGATGCTGCACCTGCCCTGGGCAGGTAATTTGCATTTCAACATAAGGAGGAAAGAGAAGCTAGCTGCTAGAGCAGCTGCTACCCCTTCCTTTTGTTCTTGTTCTTTGCCACCGCCATGAAAGTTTACTTTCTGCAAGTGTTGTTCTGCCTTGGAGCCAGTTGAGTAAGGACTGAAGCTTCCAGTAACTGTGAGCTAAATAAACCTTTCCATGAATTCATAGGGGTGTTGCTCTGCCATTCAGTACCTAATTGGCAGCTTAAGTGTTCTAGGTCCTACATAAAAAATAAAGTCATCCTGTGTTGTAAGGGTGGTTTTCTTAAGTTGAGCAGGTATGTGGTGCCTTCTTATCTCAGAAATATTTGTAGCAGATTTTCACTGTACCTAGTAATTGTGTCTAGTCTTTACTCTTCAGTACTTTTCTTGCTGAAAGATACTGCTGAGGTACTGTGCAGGTGTATACCCAAATGTTCAAATATTTATAAAATATTTATATTGGCTTGAAGATCCTGTAAATTCATCATGGGGAAAAGATGTATCAAAATAAAGGGAAATCACTTCAGAAACAAATGTAAATCCATTTCAATTAAATAAATTGTTTAAAGTACAAAAATAAATTAAAAAATAAACCTTTCCTTCCTTCAATTTGGGTGTCAGGTATTTGTTTCAGCAACGAGAGAAGAGTAACAAGACAGACCTATTACTAAATTAGTCTCCTTCTAAGGTATTGGGAATTGGGCCTTCAACATAAAAATTTGGAGAAGGGAGTGAAACAAAATTCAGCACATAATTGGGCCTGTGTACATATGGGCAGTGTTCAAGTGTTTTCCAGCATAGCCTGTGTCTGCTTTGGTCACACCATCATCCTGGTAGATCTTATGAGTGTATAAGAACCAGCTTTAACCAAAGGGAACTCTAGAGCAGGTTGGGGTTCAGATTTGACCCAGCTTTGTGAGACTGCTCTAGGTAGGGAGCTACATGATCCTTGGCAGGGGCCAAGGACAGGGGCACAAACCAGGGACTGTCATCACCCAGGAGATGCATGAAGTGTGGCAGGATGAACCTCAGTCCTCGCATATGGTGAGGTACTATGTTCTGACCTAG